AAAAAAAAAAAAACAAAAACAAAACAAAACAAAAAAAACGAATTAATGAGCTGGGATGCTGAAAAGCCCAGGCAACATTTATACATCTTACCAGCAAAAACTGCACTGGTCAGCAACCCGAGCCAGCCAATGAGAAAGACTGGAGGACAAGACCCACACCCCATCCAACAGCCCTTGTCAGTGCCTGACTCCGAGCTGCTCCTGTGAGTTGAGGAAATACCCTGCAATAGGCAGTCAAAGATGCCGTCAGCTCCCCAGTCTCCAGTGTAGCACGTTCTTCTGTGTTAAATGGAATAAACAAAATACACTGGGGCAGCTTTCTGCTTCCATGTGGTCGAGGCTCGCCTTGTCTGGCCGTCAGCCTTTGGCTAGAGCAGTCTCTGGGACCTCGGCTGCCCCACTCATTTCCTTGGCCAGAAGTAGGCATGTTTTTTCCATAACTGACCAGACAGGAACTGTTTTCGGGCTTGTGGCCACATATACAGTTTCTGCCACAACTACTCCACTGTTGTTACAGGATGAAATAAGTAAGTAAATAAGCATGGTTGTGTTTCAATAAACCCTAAAAAAAAAAAAAACAGGTGGTGAGCTGGCTTTGTTGTAGGGTGAAGTTTGCTGACCTCTGCCTTCAGTAATTTCTCCCTGCAGCCCTTCAGGGTCCAAGCATCCAATCTTGTAATATAAAAAGATCTAACCTGAATGATTCACTAAATACACAAATATGTAGACAAGTTCCATTTTATATGGAAATGAAATTAAAATGAGAATCTGTATCAACTCAAAATCTGTGTCCTTGGAGGTACACCCCCTCCCCAGGCTGGTGCACTGAATACTGCAGCCCCTTCCTCCATCCTTCTTCACTGCAGAGCTAAGCATGACAGGATTCCTCATCTCCCCAAACCCAAGACATATAGTTCTGGCCTACACCATACAGAAGGAAGCTTTCCCTTTCTGAAAGGCAGAACCACCCAGGGGAAGGTTTAGGCTCCCCTCCCCTCCCCCTGCTCCTCCCCCTCCCTGGTGCCTGGACTGCTGTGGCTAGCTGAGCCATCCTGTGACCATGAGGAAGAAGGCCACATGCTGAGGATGGCAGGGCTGGCAGTACCAGGCCAGCCCAGGTCTCACCTGCCTTCAGACCTCCTGGCAGGGGAGATGAGCCCCTATGAGCTAAATCCTGGTGAATCGGGGTTTCTGTTACCTGTAGTCAAACAAAGGTTTCGTATATCTTATTCATGATTAAATTTTAAAGAGAAAAATTATTTTGCCAGGAGAAAATAGGACAGTTCATTTCAGAATAAAGCCTGAAAGAAAATAATTCTTTTTGAATTGTGAGGAGAAACAGACAATGAAAATAAATTTCCTGAGACACTGAAGGTTCAGGTTCCAGTTAGCCTGGAAGATCTAACTTATGGTCAATGATCAAGAATACGCTGGCATTAATCTATTCTGTCTACTTTGCCTATGTTCAAAAATCTCTATAGTTAAAGATAAACAAACAAGAGAGAATAAAGCGGATTCAGTGAGAAGAAGATAAAAGACCATCAGCAGATGACATCTTCCAAACTGGAGGTGGTTAATCTTAGTGTCTATCTACATGTTTGGTTTGCTTGTTTTAAAACAAAAATATGTACTTATCCTTACTATCAAGAGAGTACTATCACTCCTTAGTTCAGCATTTACTAAGCACCAGCTACAAGTCTGGCACTCGTCAGACAGCTCTCCCTGCTCAGCCTCAATTCAGCAGCTGGATGAGATGTTCCGACCCTGCTGTGTGGCACGGAGCCAGCAGGGGGCGCGGTGGCGGCGCGGAGGAGGCGTGGCCCGGGGTTTCCACCGCCGTAAAGGCGTGTGTAGGTCCTGATGGGAATGAAGCTAGAGAAACGGGGGAAATGCCCGCTAGAAGTTGGCACACCGTATCTCGAGTCTGAACTTTAAGACCTTGATCGAGCCTGAAGGCTGCACCTTCAAACTTGCCCTGTAGGTGGCAGAGCGGATGCCCGGAGCCCAGGGGCACGGGGCCACCCGACTGACAGGAAGCAGGCGGGGCAGGGTCAGAAACGCCCACGGCTGCGGGCGCTCGTGTGAACACGGGCGCTGCTCTGAGAATCGCCTCTGCCACGGCATCTTACTCGCCTTGCTGACTTTAAACGGTCTCTCCTCGGTGTCCTCCTTGGGGAATTGTTTATCCCAGTTTCCTTTGAAGTAGATGGCATTCACCAGAACCAGCTTTGTCAGTGAATCCACTGTGCCCGGGGAGAGCAGCTCGGCAATTTTACCTGAGAGGAAGAATTAAAGACCGCGTTAGATAGGGGCGGCTGCTGATCCCTGACACATCAGGAATCGGCGGGGCCTTCTGCTTCACCAGTCAAGTGCACAGATAGAGACTTCCACTGTCCCCCCAATAGAAGGGATTTGTGTCCTTTAAGCAAAACGGCAAAAACTTCTGGTAAGAAAAACATCATCATTTGAATAAAACACACAAGTGAACAAGTACATGTTAATTATGCAGGAGAAGTTCATAACACAGGAGATAGGAAGGAGTGGTGGGAGCCTATGACTTAAAGACAGAACTTAAAGGATTGCCAAAAAGATGAGCAGAGGCCGGGCGCGGTGGCTCACGCCTGTAATCCCAGTACTTTGGGAGGCCGAGGCGGGTGGATCACGAGGTCAAGAGATCGAGACTATCCTGGTCAACACGGTGAAACCCTGTCTCTACTAAAAATACAAAAAATTAGCTGGGCATGGTGGCATGTGCCTGTAATTCCAACTACTCAGGAGGCTGAGGCAGGAGAACTGCCTGAACCCAGGAGGCGGAGGCTGCAGTGAGGCAAGATTGCGCCATTGCACTCCAGCCTGGGTAACAAGAGCGAAACTCCGTCTCAAAAAAAAAAAAAAAGATGAGCAGCCAAGAGACGTTCTTTACAAGCTTAAAGTACAGGTTAGGCCAGTCACAGTGGCTCACACCTGCAATCCCAGCACTTTGGGAGGCTGAGGTGTGAGGATCACTTGAGGCCAGGAGTTGGAGACCAGCCTGGGCAACCCAGTGAGACCCTGTCCCTAAGGAAAAGAAAAAAAAAAATTGGCCAGGAGCAGTGGCTCACGCCTGTAATCCCAGCACTTTAGGAGGCCAAGGTGTGTGGATCACAAGGTCAGAAATTCAAGACCAGCCTGGCCAACATGGTGAAACCCCATCTTTATTAAAACTACAAAAATTATCTGGACGTGGTGACACATGCCTGTAACACCAGCTACTCATGAGGCTAAGGCAGGAGAATCACTTGAACCCGGGGGCAGAGGTTGCAGTGAGCTGAAATTGCTCCATTGTACTGCAGCCTTGGCAATAGAGCAAGACTCCATCTGAAAAATTAAAATGAAATAAAATAAAATTAGCTGGACATGGTGATGCTACCTGCAGTCCCAGTTACTTGGGAGGCTGAATCAGGAGGACCACTTGAGCCAAAGAATTGAGGCTGCAGTGAGCTGTGATTGCCACTGCACTCCAGCCTGGGTGACAGAGGGACACCCTGTCTCTAAGAAAAAAAAAAAGTTAAAATTAAGAACCACAGGTAGACTAGGGCATGACCCAGTGTCCCACTGCAATGCATGAAAACCGTAGACCATGAACTGCTGAAGAGGGAGACGGCTTGAGATCCACGCTATGGATTTTTTATGTTATTTTTGAAAGGAAAGACTATATTCACATTAACCCCCTCCTCAAAATTAAAATGTGGACTGGTCCAGAAGAGATGTACCAAACACTGAAAGACATCAGTCACAGGTATACTGAAGAGCGCAGGGAGAAGCCAGAGACCAGCACACACTGAGCACTTCCAAAACGTCAATTAATGGCAACTGATTTCAGAAGCAGATTTTTAAAGTTTGCAGTTAGAGAAAAAAAACGTCATTCCTGTTTACAACTGACAGTCTTGTGAAGGAACTGACAATAAAATGGATTAAGATGCTATTACAAGTAGAATAACAATACTTTTTTACCTTCTGTCTTTTCAGCTACCCAGGTGTTTATATGTTTTCTGGAATTCTCTGCGGCGCTGATAAAGTCAAGCTCCTCCATCTCCGCTTGGTAGAATTTTTGGCAGGAATCCCTAAAAGCCTAGGATAGACAGAGGGACATAACTACAAAAATGGTGAACACCAACGGCCTATTTCTTCACTGAACCAAACCAGAAAATCTATAATTTTATAATTGACATCTGTAATTTACAAATAAATATGAGGACTTAATCTAAAATCCAACTTCCTAGCTTTACCTATATTTAATCCTAGCTTAAAAACTAAGTCCATGTCAGGTGCTGTGGCTCACACCTGTAATCCCAGCGCTTTGGGAGGCTAAGGTGGGTGGATCACATGCAGTCAGGAGTTCGAGACCAGCCTGGCCAACATGGCAAAAGCCTGTCTCAACTAAAAATACAAAAATTAGCCAGGTGTGGTGGCACACACCTGTAATCCCAACTACTTGGGAGGCTGAGCCAGGAGAATCACCTGAACCCAGGAGGCAGAGGTTGCAGTGAGCTGAGATCACGCCACTGCACTCCAGCCTGGGTGAGAGTGAGACTCTGTCTCAAAAAGAAAAAAAAAACTAGGTTGAATCAGGCTCTGAATATCCAACAAACTTCACCAACCACTGGGTCCTTTAAGGGAGCAGCCACACATCAAGGAGCTGCCTGTCAAGATGTTGATAAGACAGTTGAAAAGCATAAAGTAGATCCAACGTATCGGCAGGTGAAAAGAAACAAATTACAAAAGCCTACATGTGGCATAATGGCGTTCAGGGCCACAAGCTTCCTGCTGGACCACAGCCCCCTCCACCTGAACACCTTCATTTCGTTAGTGAGTAACAAGTATGACTTACTGAGAGGAAGTCACAGGACTTTTCCCCAAAGAGCCTGTTGGCCGTCCTAAGCAGGTACTGCGTGCCAGGCTTGTTCACTTCGGTGAGAAGGGACTGGAAGCCCTGGTGGACATCTCCGCCACCACCACTTTTATTTAAAGAAAGTACCTGAAATCAAAAAGAGAATGAAAACACATCACATCTGTATGCTCTGACTTCAGGAAATGGAGCAACCCCAAAGTCAGCCTAACAACAGTGCAGACTCTTACTACTGCTTAAAAGATCCATCCAATTAAAGGCCAGAAGGGTCTTAAAAGCCCCTCCCTGTGCCCTGTCAGTGCTGGCGTGAGCTGCAGTGCCCTCCACAAACCCAGACTTCTGATGCTCAGTACTTGGAGTTTGGTGGCAAACCAGGGTGTGAACCAGACCTCCTGTCTATGTAAATGCAGGCGGCTCCTGATGTCAGAAGGGCAGGGTCCCTCCTGCCTGTGGGTCTGGGCTGGCCCTGTCACTGGCTCTAACTAATGATATAGTAGGTAGAATTCAGTAGAAGCATGCTGCTCCAGGCCTAGGTCCTTTTTAAAAGGCCTGGCAGCTGCCACATTCACTCTCTGGTACCCTGGACACCATGATGGAAGGAAGTCCAAGCTATCCTGCTGAAGGCCACATGGAAAGCCCTGGAGGAAGTGCCACCACCTGTGGGGAGAGTTGCTTGAAGAATCAAGGCCTAAATGTAAGAGAGGCCTTCTGGAACCTTCCAGGCCAGCTGTCCACTGAAACAGCTGCATGAGTGACCCGCACTGCTTCCTGGGACCAGGCCTGCCTGGTCAGGCCACAGAATCCGAGGAATAATCAATCACTGTTATTTCCAGCCACTAAGTTTGGGATGGTTTGTTTTGTGGCAATAGATGACACATGCAGCCATCCGGAAGTGGAGTTCTGCCATGACCAAAACCTAACACATGTGACCCTGGCCTCGGCCCCAGGCAGCTGGCAGACACTGGACGGACAGGACGAAATGACTCCTGGGGAATGCAGAAAAGGGGCTGTGTGTATAGAAGCTGAAGAAGTGGAGAGAAGGTCACCTGCAGTGACAGGGAGGGTGGTGCCTCTCCCCGTGAACTCCTGCATCTGGCTAAGGGCTCCAGGGGAACACAGCTTCTTTTTGCTGCCTAGGATATCACACAGGAAGAAGGAACTGTTCCATTTTCAAGCAGAATTTCAAGGAACTATTTCCAACCCAGTATGTGCTGGGTGGAAAATAAAAATATTTCCTCTCCCCAGCCTCTCCAGCTAGCAAAAGATTCTAAAAGAAATGGCCTCTGGGCAGAGATCAAATCCAACACACTGGCCTCAAGGGTGAGGTCAAAATCCACTTGTTAAACCTTAGAAGATTCAGGAGCACCTTACTCTCTGGCAGGCTCTGCCACAGCACCCTGACTCCCAACCCAACACAGAGCACTCAAGTGGTGGTGGTGGGGGGGATGGTGGGGGGTGGCTTTTCCAGGGAAGCAGATTTTAAGTTGATAGACAGAAATCCCACAGTGATTTTCAGGCACTTGTAACAGCTTGGACTAAAAGGGAGAGACAGCTCAAAGTGCAGGGAGGCCTCTGGGCACCCACATTCTACAGGTGGGAGGTAGCCTGGGAGCACAGCAAGCATGGGCCATTTCTTACAGAACAGGAAAGGAGCTGCTGAGAGCGACACCGGGACACGGCGGCAGGGCACGGCCAGGGCAGTAGTGGACAAGGGACAATTCTGGGAAGCTGCAGTGGAGGCTCATCAAGGAACGCCCTTCACCCAGGGCTGAGGGGTGGACAACACGCACCTGGCTGGGCTTGGGAATCCCCACTGTTCAGTGATGCCCACGGGCCTCCCACACCTCCTGTGATGGGCTGGATGTGTCCCCCAAAATTTACACACTGAAGTCCCAACTCCAGTGTCTCAGAATGGAACTGTATTTGGAGAGAGGGCCTGTACAGGGGTGATTAAGGTAACATGAGGCCATTAGGTTGGGCTTTAATCCATTAGGATTTGTGTCCTTATAAAAAGAGGAGGGCCGGGTGTGGTGGCTCATGCCTGTAATCCCAGCACTTTGGTAGGTTGAGGCAGGCGGATCACAAGGTCAAGAGATCAAGACCATCCTGGCCAACATGGTGAAACCCCGTCTCTACTAAAAATACAAAAATTAGCCGGGCCTGGTGGCACGTGCCTGTGGTCCCAGCTACTCGGGAGGCTGAGGCAGAAGAATTGCTTGAACCCAAGAGGCGGAGGTTGTAGTGGGCCGAGATTGCACCACTGCACTCCAGCCTGGCAACAGAGGAAGACTCTGTCTCAAAAAAAAAATAAAATAAATAAAATAAAAATAAATAAATAAATAAAAGGAGGAGATGAGGCCAGTGTGTTGACTCACGCCTGTATTCCCAGCACTCTTGGAGGCCGAGGCAGGCAGATCATAACGTCAGGAGTTCAAGACCAGCCTGGCCAACATGGTGAAACCCCATCTCTACTAAAAATACAAAAATTAGCTGGGTGTGGTAGCGGGCACCTGTAGTCCCAGCTATTCGGTAGGCTGAGGCAGAGAATTGCTTGAACCCGGAAGGCGGAGGTTGCAGTGAGCTGAGATCGTGCCATTATACTCCAGCCTAGGCGACAGAGTGAGACTCCATCTCAAAAAATAAAAATAAAAATAAGAGATGAGGGCACAGACACACAGAGGGATGATGACCATGTGGGGACACAGGGAGAAAACAGTGTCTACAAGCCGAGGAGAGAGACTGCAGGAGAACCCGACCCTGCCCACACCTGGCTCTCGGACTTCCAGGGAACCACGAAGTCCAGAGGGCAGACCACAGCAGCCATGGGTGGCCCCGCCCAGCCATGTCTCCAGTGTGCATACCCTTGCTCAGGACACACGTGGAGGCTTGATAGGCACTTGCTTCAAGCCCGTCTTCTGGGAACACTTCCTCTCGGAACCCAGCGGCCTGGCCTACGGGAGCCCAGGCACCCCGCGAAGGAGGCGTGTAGAGGGCCCCAGTGGAGAAGGCCACAGGGAAGACGCCCCAGCACCCTGCTGAGCCACTGTTGAAGCAGCCCCACAAGGAACCCAGCCAGCACCAAGTGGAGCAGAGGCACCACTCGATCCACCCAGATTCAACAACCAGGAAAGCTGCTAAGCTGGGAGTGCCAGTTATGCAGCAATGAAGAACTGGAGCACTACTGAAAACATGTTCAGCTGACAGATGCCGTTCTAAGGAGGTTTTACATCTAAATGAGGAAATGAAGACTCCAAACAATCAAAAGGCAGGCGACAGTACCCAAAAAGATCATCACAGGACTCAACCTGAACCTTGTGACTTTACAACTGTCTACAAACTCATGAACAGGCTAAGCCATGTGATGATGAAATCATTCGTTCCTCTGAATCCAGCGCCGCCTCTCCAGCCCGACGGGTCAGGGTGCTGTCCCAGGGTGCTCTGGTATGGGTGGCATCCCCTTCCCTGTCAACTCTCCACCCACACCCTGCGATCTGCACAGTTATCCATCTAGAGCAATCCCTGCGGGATCTGGAATTCGGAGGACCAGCTCACTTGGAAGTTCATAGCATCTGCAGCTGTCCTGAAGCCGTACCTGGGCCATCTGCACGGCAGTGTTTCCCTGTGCCCCCATGTAGACCATGGCCAGGGCAGAGGCCATGCTCATGGGTGAGAAAAACACATTCTTCGAGTTGCCTTCACCCAGCGTTTTCAAAAGGTTTAAGGCAAAGGTGCCATTTGCTTCTGCGAGAGGATCCATGACGGCAGACCTGGAACAAGATTTAAAATCAGTATCACGTAAGCACAGCTTCCACACAACCGCGCTTCACACTCCTTACCACTGACACTGTGGCTCAGTGAGCAAGCAGGGACACACACAGAACTCTGGGTATGTCTTTTTGGGACTCTCCTAATTATTTTGTGTGTTTCTAACGTTAAGTATGGAAATCGAAAGAGTTCTATGCATAACGCAGTCCTGCTTTGTGAGGACTCCTTCCTGTACATGTGCCCGCCACAGGAGAAACTGTGGGAGGAGGTACCCTTTCCTAGAGTCGCTTCCTTGGGGCAGAGTTACAGAAGGGGTGTTGGCTTTTGCTTCTATGTGTGTATTCTTTGGTGTGTTTTGTGGGCTTAAATGTACTGTGTTTTAATTTGAAAAATATTCAAGATAATAAATTCATTAACAGTTACACAAGAAAAGATGGCCAAATGTTTTTATAATGAGAGAGAACCCATTTCAGGGCAGCAAGAGCCTTAAAATAAAAGATGATACATCAAGCCACATACAAAGATGTGTGAAAGCCTTTCAAATGCCTTTTGACCCTCGGATCTCCTTCTATGAAATCCCTGCAGGTAGCAAAACCCCAATCTTAGATCACGCTTGGGGACCTCCTGCTGCCACAAGCCAGGCCTTCCTGCTCCTGAACTCACAGAGCACTCAGGACACCACCTTGACTCCCAGGCTGTGGGTGTGTGCCCATCTCCACCTTTAGAGACAGGCTCCGGGGTAGGGTCAGGCTGCACACATCTCTCTAGCCCTGGCGTGCAGGGTGTGTGGCAGCCCCAGCAGGGTCCAGAGAAGGAATACAGCTGGATAGTCGGGGCGGGGGAGCTGGGGTGTCTTCAGGCCAGCCGGAGTCACAGAATCACATGAAAGCGCACCAAGACCTTAGAGAGACCGACCGTCAACATCCCATAGCACTTCAGGGAAGGTGAAATTCACAGAAGTGAAGCTAAGAAGCCACCGCCCTGGAAGCGCAGGCCGATGCCCTGTCTGGGCCACTGCTTAAGAAGAAGAATCTGCAGAAGCAGGTGAGAGGACAGGGGCAGGTCAGGGCCCCACCGGCAGGCAGGCTGGGGAGGAGGGGATGCAGGGATGCAGGGCCTGCCTGCTGTGACACAGTTCACAAATGTTTACCCAGTGAATTTGGCCTAGTTGGAGAATGCCAGCATTCTCAGTCAGTCCCAATGACTCACTTGAGCAGCAGGCGGGAACCCACAGAACAAGGAAGGGGAGAAGCAGGAGCAGATACTTCCTGGAGCAGATGGGAGAGGTTAGGAGATGCCTACTGAAGGCCCTGTGAAGAGATGCTGAATTGACCCGTTCTCCATCATGCATGTCTTTACATTCATAGCTGGGGTTGACTGAACAAATGCCCCAAAGATACCCAGGTCCTAATTCCTGGGACCTGCGAATGCTCCCTTACATGGCAAAAGGGACAGTGCAGCGTGATTGAATTCAGGCTCTTAAGATGGGAGATTATCCTGGATTGTTCAAGTTGACCCTACATGTAATCACAGGTATCCTTCTAAGAGGAAGGCCCGTAGAGATCTCATGGGAAAAAGCAATGCAAAGAATAAAGCAAAATGCCCCTCCACTGGCTCTGATGATGAAGCCAGGGAACGCAAGGACTGCAGCTGCAGTGGCTGGAACAGCAAAGAGGAGCCTCCGGAGGAGCCTGGCCCCATGAAACCCGTTTTCAACCTCCAGCCTCAGAACTATGAGAGAATAAACACATGCTGTTTAGCCACAAATCCATAGGCATGTATTACAGCAGCCACAGGAAACCAAGACAATAACTAATAGCCTAGTTTGCTGTCCTTCTTTAAATATTTTGTTTTCAAATTTTTTTTTTTTTTTTTTTTTTTTTTTTATTTTTTTTTTTTTTTTTTTTTTTTTTTTTTTTTTTTTTTGAGACAGAGTCTTGCTTTGTCACCAGGCGCCAGGCTGGAGTGCAGTGGCACAATCTCAGCTCACTGCAACCTCCGCCTCCCAGGTTCAAGCAATTCTCCTGCCTCAGCCTCCCGGGTAGCTGGGACTACAGGCGTGTGACACCATGCCCAACTAATTTTTTGTATTTTTAGTAGAGATGGGGTTTCACCATGTGGGCCAGGATGGTCTCGATCTCTTGACCTCATGATCCACCCACCTCAGCCTCCCAAAGTGCTGGGATTACAGGCTTGAGCCACTGTGCCTGGCCCAAATTCTTCTTTATTCATTACGGAGAGCACTTGGGGCACTGGGCACTCCCAGTTTGCCAAGCCTGTCCAAACATATTTTAAGATTACTCATTTCTAATTAAGGGACAACAGAATGTACATATTACTAAAATTATTCTGGATATAAGGGAGTCTTTGATGACAAATAACTCCAGGATTCTGCAGAGCCTTGGGAACATCAAGAGAAACAAAAAGTAGCCACTATACGGAACTGAAGCAAAATTAGGCCTATTTTTGGTTCTTTGGATCCTAGATCACAAGAGCCGCCTGCTTATCAACTTGAGAAACAATTGGTAAAACAGGGAAACTCCTAGGTTAAGAATAAGAAAAGAGGAGGTGCCCCAGAGCAAGAAGCACAGCCTGTGAAGCCTGCGTATCAGGACTTAAAGCCAGTGGACACCCTGACACATGGGGTCTTCCCTGGCTTGGGGACATGACTTCTGACTTTGTCCCCAAGAAGGCTCAGCCCATGTGGAGACGGCTCCTCCATGAACCAAAAAAAAAAAAAAAAAAAAAGACAGAAGTAGGCAGGGCACGGTGGCTCACGCCTGTAATCCCAGCACTTTGGGAGGCCGAGGTGGGCAGATCATCTGAGGTCAGGAGTTCAAGACCAGCCTGGCCAACATGGTGAAACCCCGTCTCTATTAAAAAAATACAAAAATTAGTCAGGTGTGGTGGCACGTGCCTATAGTCCCAGCTACTCAAGAGGCTGAGGCAGCAGAATCACTTGAAACCAGGAGGCAGAGAAGCAGTGAGCCGAAATCTCACCACTGCACTCCAGCCAGGGTAACAATAGTGAAACTCTGTCTCAAAAAAAGAAAAAAACAGAGGTAAGTATAAGGTCAGCTGGCCAGAGAAAAGTCCCACGTGCTTCCCCAACCCCGTCCAAGACTATTCTACCATCAGCACACATTTCCCCTCAAATGCTGAAGGACTCTTAAACTTTTCTTAGCTCTTTGTATCTTGTCCCAGAGAACCCATGGCTACAAGTGGCAAAGTGAGGCCTGGAAGCCAGGACTGCACGGCTCTGCAATTCACTTTCTTCATCACAATGGTACACAGCCTTCCCAGAAAGCAATGGTGTACATTAAAGACACCTTTTCGGGGCCGGGCGCGGTGGCTCAAGCCTGTAATCCCAGCACTTTGGGAGGCCGAGGCGGGTGGATCACGAGGTCAAGAGATCGAGACCATCCTG